GGCTTGTGGTTTAAAGGACAAGGTTCCACCACTTTTGGTGACTAATTCTACCAGGAGGAGTGTGGGTGCTTCCTGGGCTATTTGACATCAGGCTTTGGGAGCTTTCAAGCTTGTAAAGCTGTTACCTGGTTTTTGAGTTATACTTTTACAAAATTTTACCAAGTGGATGTCAGAGTTGCTAAGAACACTACCTTTTGGTTGGCATGTTTTGCAGACTGCTGCAAAACAGGTAAACCAAAAACCCAATTTTTCTTAAAAAAAATTTTTGTTTTAATATATTTTTTTTTTTTCGTTAAAGCTATTGTAAAGTACATTTTTTTTCTTTTATGTAAATAACAAACATGATATACTTGCTCGCTTTATGCGTTGGAATTGCACAGAGTGTCCCGATCTTCTTCTTCTTCTCAGGTCCCCTGCCCAGTGCTTATGGCTCCTCCTTGTCTTGTTGTGCCAACACAGGAAGCCACTTCCTATTGTGGCACACCTGCGGGCTTGATCCTGAGCCACGCTGCTTACATCTATAGACACAGACAGCGCAGCTTGGCCCCCGCCCCCGCTCCCTTCTTTCAAAATTTGATTCCCGCTGCCTCAGCAAAGCCTGTGAGAGCAGGGAGAGGCGCTACAGACGGGCACAATGCTAGATTGAGTGAGGACTTGTGTAAGGGTGGGTGAGGTGCCATACTGTCACCAATTTTTGGTTTTAGAACCAGTTTAACTTTTTCTTTTTTAACTCTTGTTTTTGTAACATAGTTCATGAAAACATGATATCAGTTAAAATCCTTTTAAACCTTTAAAAACAATGTGAAAATGAAGGTAAAAAAATTAATTGTAGCGTATCTGTCATGTTAACCTAAAAAAACTGAAGCTGCTAATTTTGGACGGTCAGGAACCAGTGACCTCTGGTCGCAAGAGATTTAAAGCAAACCTGTTGCTTTTATAAAGAGACACAAGAACCTATAAACATGCTGCTCTTTCAGCATCCCAGTCATTCAGAAGCTGACTTACCGTCAGCGAAGGGCAGTTGTGACCTCTGAGCTGGTGGCCATCATGTCACACAAAGTGCTCCAGCTGGAGGTTCTCCTGGGTTTCTCTAGAAGATATGAGGTCTATGCCTAGTTGTAGTTTCTTCTGACACTTGGATGACTTGGTGTTCATGGAGGAGCCAGAAAACATGCTTTCGCTGTCCACAGGCAGCAGCTGTAGTCTTCGATTGTATTGAAGGTCCTATGATGTCTCCAGCACTGTAGTGCAGCAGTCTCTCGTAGTATCCAAGCGTCCTCTGAGAGCACCAAGCCATAAGAAATCTGCTGCTACCGCCTGCAGGCCTCCCTCTGATCACATCATGCAGTGCCGAGTTTCTCTAATAGGTTCTTGTTTTTTTTTTTTTTTTTTTTTCTACTTTCATGTAGATTGTGGTGCACAAACATCACCCATTGGAAATACTTTGCCATCGATTTGGTTAGGTCTAATAAAATGCAGCCCAACTACAACCTCCACCTGACCTTTCTGCAGCAACAATCGTGAACATGACATGCAGTCGGAAATGCCTGACTGAGCACAGATCTGAGCAGCGCGGCGTTCGCTCTGTGGAAAGGGCACCTTTTGTTTGCGAAGGATGGAAAGTAGGACACATTTTTTACATGGGCCTATTTAGGAGCGGAGGTGACGATGATGGGTAAAATGATGTAACCCCCTCGTAGTCAGTTCTGGGTCACTGTAGTGTGAAATGTGGAGATGATTTCTGGAGTTCTGTACGACAACTAACCAGAAATCACATTTTCCTTTTAGACTCCAGTAACTGAAATCTAGTTATTGCGCTTTCCACTTTTTATTCTTTTTATTCCTTGTGCTATTTTGATGTATTCTGTATTACATAATGTCTGGATTTGCTTGCCTGCAATCATATTTTTAGCCTGTCACTAACTTGTTTACTCAAGTGCAATTTGAAGCCTCTCCGCACCGGTCTGCCCAGAAGGATATTGTATAAGTGATTGTAAACCCTCTATATTGGTGTTAATCCTGCGAGCAACCAATTTAAAATAATCCCTCTTGAAGTCGCCTACACCCTTCATACACCCTCACTTTGTCAAACAACCTATTTAGTTTAAAATAGAATGAGAGCAAATCATTTGTATATAGATAAAAAAAAATGATAAAAACCTTTTCTTTTTTTTTTTTTTTTTTAAATAAATGATCACAATCCCTCTGTTCTCAGCTGCGTAAGAGATAGGGGAGGAGAAACAGCAGCACGTTAATCTTCCCAGTGAATGGCTGTATGGAGGGAGGGGGAATGTCATCAGAAGTCTGATCATTGCAGGAGAGCACACTGAGTTCCCAGCACAGCTAGAGAACTGATCATGCTGTGCTCTCCTGCTTAGTAAGGTCAGTTTTTAATAGGAAAGCAGAGGTACTGGTGGTGGAACACACAGAATTTCACACAAAGGAAGCCGTAAAGAGAACAGGATACGTTTTCATCCAAGTACATGGTACAACAGGCACATATCAGGGATAGGAAATGTTGGGGTTACATATTCTTTTAAGTTTTCACCTTCACCACACATTCTGGTCTATATTTAGCAATAGTTGGTCACAAGGTAAGGCAGAAGAGGCATGGAATTCAGAATATTTGCCAGTGGCATTGCCATTCCTGAACCACCATGTGAACAACTCGTCATCAAGTACTTCTCATAGGGTGGATTGGGGCTTGACAGTCTTCTAGATAGAAGAGAGACTTAAAGTGGTTGTAAATTACACTCTGCAGAGCTCAGTGAGGAGAGCTCTGAGAGCTGATTGGAGGAAAGAAACACACCCCTCTTTAGACAGCTGACAGGAACAGAGCTGAGGCTCTCAATCACAGTCAGTGCCTTCCCTGTCACCATTTTTCTCCTGGTGTCAGGAAAACATGTCAGAAGTGATCCACGCTGATAGAGAAATGACACTTAGTGCTCTGGATTGAGACAAGTACACACTATAGAAGGATATGCTTTGTTCATATTTCATGTCTGAGGTTTACAACCACTTTAACCACTTCCCGTCCACCCCTTGCCTATAGACAGCGGACGGGATGTGTATGTCAGTCCACATCAAAGGCTCCTGCAAGGCTCACAGAGCATGCATGTGGGAGCTTGGCGATCCTAGTGTCACATGGACACAGCAGATCACATTACCATTGTGTTTGGGTGGTCACATGGTATTTAACCATGGGATTGCTGTGTCCAATCATAACAGTCACATAGTAAAAAACAGAGAGAAGAGAGAACCGATGCTGCAGCCTGTGAATGTACAAGCAACTTATCAGGCTGCATATACACTCACAGACTGCAGTGCCAGCCACCCCAGTGTCCCTCATCACTGCCCCATTGAAATGTAAAGAAATAATGCAGCCAGCCCCAGTCACCTGTTTCATTGTTCACAAAAACATCGCCATCCACCATACCAATGTCCTGATCACCATCATAACAGCGTCTTCATCACTGCCATATGTCATACCAGCTTCCTGATCACCACCATACACTATACCAGCGGCCTGATCACCACCATACCCCATACCAGCGTTCTCATGACCCCATATGCCATACCAACAAACTGATCACTTCAAAACCTCATACCAGCATTCTGATTACCCCATATTCCATACCAGTATCCTGATCACTACCATACCAGCGTCCTGATCACTACCATACCAGTGTCCTGATCACCGCCATACCTCATCCCAACATCCTGATCACTGCCATACCCCATACCAGTGTCCTGATCACTGTCACACGCAATACCAGTGTCCAGCATTTTTAGGTCTCAACTGATCATATATATATATATATATATATATATATATATATATATATATATATATATATATATATATATATATATAATTTCAATCATAGTTTGTAGACTCTAGAGCTTTCACACAAGCTGAATAATATACACTGTTTTGGGTTATTTTTACCCAAAAAAATGTAGCAGAATATATTTTGTTGAAATTTATGAAGAAAGATTATTTTATAACAAACACTAAGAAAAAAGATAAAAAATTAATATGGATACAGTGTTGCATGACTGTGTAATTGTCATTCAAAGTATGACAGCACTGAAAGCTGAAAATTGGCCTGGACTGGAAGAGGGTGAGTGTCCAGACTTGAAGTGGTTAATTTGTAAGTGAACTAAAAAAGTGAAAGTTTGCTAAGTTATATAAAAATTTTAGAAAAGGTAACTGTGCCTAAGCACTACCTTAAGAAAATGCCTTTTGTTTGGAATTCCTTCTGCAAAATAGCATTGCAATTCCAGATATATGAGGGTTCATAGGCACTCCCGTGCCTTCAGCATCATATATGTGTGTGTGTGTGTGTGTGTGTGTGTGTGTGTGTATATATATATGTGTGTGTGTGTATATATATATATGTATATGTGTGTGTGTGTATATATATATATGTATGTGTGTGTGTGTATATATATATATATGTATGTATGTGTGTGTGTGTGTATATATATATATATGTATGTGTGTGTGTATGTATATATATATATATATGTATGTGTGTGTGTATGTGTGTGTGTATAATATATAATGTGTGTGTGTGTGTGTATATATATATATATGTATATGTGTGTATATATATATATATCTGCAGTGTGTGGTTCAAGAGACACTGCTGCCTCAGCTAGTTTCATGAGTCCTGGAGTGGAGGAGATATTGGGTGATGTCATTACTGCTCCCTGTTCTTGCTGGAGACTCTGACGTGAGGAAGCAAAACCCTGCCTCTGCCAAGAGGGCCGTTCCCACACAGAGACAAGACACATGATAATTGATGTTATGGGAAAAAGCAAACAGGGTCACTGGTGGTATCTACAACAAGCCCCTTTGCAGTGTTTTTTTACCCATTTTCCCAGCTACAAAGCCAACTGGGTTATGTATTTTCCAAAATGAAAGTTATATTTACCATATACAGTATGTAACGATTACTTGGCTTATTGACATAGTCACACACCTCCCGTTTCAGGAACCCGGACCGGCAAAAATGGCAGCAACCAGTACCGGGATCCCTAGCGCTGAGAAGGTTCCAGCCACCAAATCTACACTGTGGCAGGAGGAGGTAAAGGGCAAAGATGGGCAAGACAGTAGCAGCAGCAGCAGCCCCATGCAGAGCCCCATTCAGGTGCCCTCTTCCCCGAGTGAGCCTCTACCGGACAACAAAGGAGGTGAGCTAAACAAGAGGAGATGAGAGACATCTGTTACAGTCAAGCCTTTCATACCTATGCCTTACTGCGACTCTAGTATGTGGCAGAAAATTGGAATCTGTTAAATTAATTTTAACGCTTGACAATTGATGGTCTAAATGCAATTTAAACCCTTGTCTTTATTCCATGTCAAGTCGCAGCACAGGCGAAGTGTCCTCCTTACATACACCATGATCTCCAACCAAAAATTCATTAATAGAAAGTTAAGTGTAGCTGCTTTGGCAGCACTCCATGTTTATGGGATCTGAGTTCGGCATTTGCTCTGAAGCCTAAACACTCAGCTCCACGTTAAGCTCCATTCTGATTCTTGTAAACCCAAAGGTCTGCATGAAACATAAAGACTTCTGAGCACGCTTGAGATAATGCTGGTCTACGTCTAATGTAGGGTTCAGTATATAAAGTATGTGTAAGCTGAGATGAAACCAGTTATGGTTTCTTAGCTGGTGAGAAGTGGAGGTGCTGGGAGACTTGAGTTTACCAAATTTCTGAAGCTGACAGTAAACGTGAGAAATACTAAGTAGACATAGCCTGATCTTATGAAGACGTAACAGGGACTATTTTTATCTAATATTCATCCCTTTAGGTATATCTGTCAGTTATCATGACTCTTGCAATTATATTGAGCTGGGAATGATGCTAACAAGCTGCCGAGAGAGAGAGATGGGGGATGCAAAATTGGAAGCATGATGTTATCTGAGACTTTGAAATTGGGTTTAATTTTTTGTTCATAAATTGTCTCCATAGCTCTTTTCCCAGCAGTTCTCAGAAAAGTCAAGTCACATCTAGTCACTAAGAGGAACTCTGGGCTGGCTAAAAATGAAATGGTTTTCACCCACCAGTTGCAGAAAATAATGAAACGTTTTCCAGGAGATGGTTTGACAAGGGAATATTGCTTACCTTACTCCATGGTCATGCAGTCTTCCTCCCTACTGGTTATGGTTGAGATGTCCGGTCCCCCCAAAGCAGCTCTTCTTGCAGATCTCTCACTGGTCATGTCACCACCATTCTTGCTGATGTCATCACCTGTAAAGCAGGGCGGACTGACCATTTGGAAACTCGGGCACTGCCCGAGGGCCCGGGATCAGTAGGAGGCCCCATGAGATGCCCCTGGTACCTTTTTTCATAGGCTTTTTTGAGTTTGGGCAAGGACACAGGGGCCCCATGAGTTGTCAGTCCGCCCCTTCTGTAAATCAGGACCAATGGTCACCACTTAAGAAAATGTACGCCTAGGTTGATTCTCCTTGGAGGTAGACCGAGGGTGCTCCAAAGCTCACAGTATCTTCCTGGCATTTTAAACTGCTTACGAGTATAAGGTGAACAGCCGGCAACTCGTTTTACCAATAAAAGTACTTTATTCATGAAGGGTACAGTGTGCAAGTTACAGCAGCATACGCGTTTCAGTAAAAAAAAAAAAAAAAAGGCTATGAATAAGGGTTTTTTACCGAAATGTGTAAGCTGCTGTACAGTACCTTGAAAAAGTATTCATACCCCTTGAAATTTTCCACATTTTGTCATGTTACAACCAAAAACGCCAATGTAATTTGTTGGGATTTGATGTGTTAGACCAACGCAAAGTGGCACATAATTGTGAAGTGGAAGGAAAATGAGAAATGGTTTTCAAAATTTTTTAAAAATAAATATCTGAAAAGTGTGCTGTGCATTTGTATTCAGCCCCCCGGAGTCAGTGCTTTGTAGGACCCCCTTTCGCTGCAACTACAGCTGCAGGTCTTTTTGGGGAACGTCTCTACCAGCTTTGCACATCTAGAGAGGGACATTTCTGCCCATTCTTCTTTGCAGAATTGCTCAAGCTCTGTCAGATTGGATGGAGAGTGTCTGTGAACAGCATTTTTCAAGTCTTGCCACAGATTCTCAATTTGATTTAGGTCTGGACTGTGACTGAGCCATTCTAACACATGAATATGACATTATCTACATTATTCCATTGTAGCTCTGGCTGGATGATTCGGGTCATTGTCCTGCTGGAAGGTGAACCTACGCCCCAGTCTCAAGTCTTTTGCAGACTAACAGGTGTTTCTAAGATTGCCCTGAATTTGACTCCATCCATCTTCCCATCAACTCTGACCAGCCTCCCTGTCCCTGCTGAAGAAAATCATCCCACAATATGATGCTGCCACCACCATGTTTCACGGTGGGGATGATGTGTTCAGGGTGATGTGCAGTGTTAATTTTCTGCCACACAGAGCGGTTTGCTTTTAGGTCAAAAAGATCAATCTTGGTCTCATCTGACCAGAGCACCTTCTTCCACGTTTGCTGTGTCCCCCACATGGCTTCTCACAAACTGCAAATGGAACTTCTTATGGCTTTCTTTCAACAATGGCTTTCTTCTTGCCACTCTTCCATAAAGGCCAGATTTGTGGAGTGCACGACTAATAGTTGTCCTGTGGACAGATTCTCCCACCTGAGCTGTGGATCTTTGCAGCTCCTCCAGAGTTACCATGGGCCTCTTAGCTGCTTCTCTGGTTAATACTCTCCTTGCCCGGCCTGTCAATTTAGGTGGACGGCCATGTCTTGGTAGGTTTGCAGTTGTGCCATACTCTTTCCATTTTCGGATGATAGATTGAACAGTGCTCCGTGAGATGTTCAAAGCTTGGGATATTTTTTTATACCTAACCCTGCTTTATACTTCTCCACAACTTTATCCCTGGCCTCTCTGGTGTGTTCCTTGGCCTTCGTGATGCACAACATCTCCACAACTTTATCCCTGGCCTTTCTGGTGTGTTCCTTGGCCTTCATGATGCCGTTTGTTCACTAATGTTCTCTAACAAACCTCTGAGGGCTTCACAAAACAGCTGTATTTATACTGAGATTATATTACACCCAGGTGGACTCTATTTACTAATTAGGTGACTGGTGAAGGCAATTGGTTCCACTAGATTTTAGTTAGGGGTATCAGCATAAAGGGGGCTAAATACAAATGTACAACACACTTTTCACAGATTTATTTGTATGAAATGTTGAAAACCATTTATCATTTTCCTTCCACTTCACAATTATGTGCCACTTTGTGTTGGTCTATCACATAAAATCCCAATAAAATACATTTACGTTTTTGGTTGTAACATGACAAAATGTGGAAAATTTCAAGGCGTATGAATACTTTTTCAAGGCACTGCAACTTGCACACTGTACCCTTTATGAATAAATTACTGGTGGGAGAATGATTTACCAGCTCTTCGCCTTATACTCTTATAGTGGTTACCACTTGTCCTGCATTGCACGTGATGATGTTGACAACCTGTCTGTTCCATCACTGGAGATAGAAAGATGGGAGTGTCTGCTGGCACCTGACCCTGAAGTAAGGCAAGTATTTTTCTCTGTTAGATTTTCCCCTAGACCAGGGGTCTCCAAACTTTCAAAGCAAATGGCCAGTTTTATTTCCCTTCAATTTTAGGAGGGTGTACTGTGGCCAGTGAAAGAAGTAGAAAATGCTGTGGCATCAGTGGGAGTAAACCATGCCTCAGGCTTGGTGGTCAGTGGGAGTAAAGAAAAAATGATAAAAAGAATAGAGCCCCATCATTGTTGTCAATGGGAGAAATAGAGCTTCCTCATATCAATGGGAGGAAAAGTGCCCCATCATTGTCAATGGGAGGAATGTGCTCCATCATATCAATGGAAGGAATCTGCCCCATCATTGTTGTCAATGGAAGGAATCGTGCCCCATCATTGTTGTCAATGGGAGGAATCGTGCCCCATCATATCAATGGGAGGAATTGTGCTCCATCATATCAATGGAAGGAATCGTGCCCCATCATTTGTTGTCAATGGAGGAATCGTGCCCCATCATTGTTGTCAATGGGAGGAATCGTGCCCCATCATTGTTGTCAATGGGAGGAATCGTGCCCCATCATTGTTGTCAATGGGAGGAATCGTGCCCCATCATTGTTGTCAATGGGAGGAATAGAGCTTCCTCATATCAATGGGAGGAATCGTGCCCCATCATTGTTGTCAATGGGAGGAATCGTGGGCTGGAGTTTGAGCTAAACGTGTCACTAAGTTGTCTAGGAGCTATCGACATTCAAACAACAACTTTATCCCAAAGTCAGTGAGACAAGCAAGTAGTACTTCATTCTTACACATAATTAAGAACAATAGGTTTGTGGTAAACCTTTTACTAAGTTGACAGATTTATTGAAATCTTGAAGCTAGGAGCTGTCAGCATGAGTATAAAGACCTAACTTTAGCTTCAGAGAACCCTGACTTCCCCTTCTCCACAAGGTATGTGCCTCTTTAGTGAGATGCCCAAACTGCTTGATGAGGTATGGTGGAGTTCAACCTTTGCATGGAATAATTTCACATTTCCTTTGAATGCAATGTGTCCAAGTGACAGGTGCTCTTTATTGCACATTGTATTATCTCCTTTTACTGGAGAAGTTATGTCGTTGCTTTTTTTTTTATATTTTTTAAGCTGCATTGTATCCAAAATATAACTCATTAGTTTGCTCCTCTACACCTTATTAGTCATTACCCTTTTTATACGATGGATCTTGGGCTCTATCCCTAGATGGAGGAATGGTGAACGGAGACCGCGTTGACGGCGGACGTAAAACACGCGTGGAAAGCGGCTATTTCTCCTTAGAGAAGACGAAAGATTTGAAAACGGAAGAACAGCCTTCACAAACGCCTCCCTCGCCCTCAACGCCCGATGTCCCCAGCAGGTATAGTGTCTACGATGCCTTCGACCAGGAACAAGACCCTTTTCCTCCCCCAGATAACAGGCACTGCCAACTAGAGGAGCTAGATCCGGAGACGAAAATGCCATCCAGCCCCCTTTTCCTGGCCAACAAGGAATATGCCCTTCTGGCTGATGTCCCTCGAGCACGCCGGATCTCACACAGAGACCTCTTCCAGGAAGAAAAGAGACGGCTGGAGCAACGTTCGCTCGTGCGCAAAGTCCAGGGAGGGAGGAAGTGGCACGTATTTTTGGCCAACAACGGAGGTTAGTTCTTTGAGAAGTTTCTATATTCTTTGCTTTTAACATCAGCATCAGATGTTCTTGGGGGGGATGAAATATTACAGAGGGTGAGATTGTGTGGATTGACTGTTTTTACATCTTAAATCATTACGCTCTTTTTTTAATGTTGTAAAATGTTGCGGGTTTCCAGGAAATTGATATACCATCTGAATTTTATTTGAGGAAGATTAAGAACTTGATGAAGCAAATATCTTCTTTTTGTTTTTCTTAATGGAGATCTTACGGTAACCCGTGGCTGTCTGGCCTGTTCAGACCTATGTTGGAGCAACAGCTGGAGAGCCATGTTTCCAGATGGATCTGCTTTAAGGAAACCCTATTGAATATTTGTTTTCTAAAGCATAGTTTGTACCTTTTTAAAGATTAGTAAAATCGCATTTTCCCAAGAATTGATATTTTTTTTTTCCTTGACATGTTAAATGAGACTAAATACACCCTTTTTAAAAAAAAAAAAAAAAAAAAAAAAGAATAAATACAGTTAAATATTGAACATCGGTACTGAACCCCATTCTGGCCCCTGAAGCCAAAAATATAACACATTTCCTTTTGCGCTATAAAAATCAGTCCCAGCTACAAGGCCTGCCTAGAATAGATTTAATTAGGTTTGTCTCTTCTATATAAAAAGGGACACGAGCTAAGTTTGAAGACTGCATGGGCAGAGTCTGTCTTCAGCGGTGCTTATTTTGTTAAAAGTTTTTTTTTTTTGTTTTTTGATTTTTTTTTTCTTTTTCAACATTGATACTGTATTTGCTTTTTGGCTACAGAGACTATGGGATTTAGTACTGATTATTTTTTTTTTTATTGTATTTTTTTTTTCTACTTTTTTAGCAGCCAAATGTGTTAATGGTTGTAGCCTAGACTCCTCCAGTTTAAAGTGCACTTGCTGGAGTGCTGGTTACTGACTTCATAGATGGGTCTTAGCAAATTCCAGGAGCCAGGATGCCAGTATGTGGCTATAAAAAATTGCTTTTTGAATCTTTGAGCTCCTTCCGTTGTCATTGGAAGAGCTTGTGGCCCAGCTGCCTTATAAGTGCCTGCTTGATTGCACTCTTGGATTGACTGGCTCCTGAACTCTGCACTTATATATGCACCCTTCATGTCTTTTATGTTGATGTTAAACAGAGGAAAAAAATACAAGGGATGGGTCTATTGCCCATACTGGAAAACGGAGCAAGCATTTGGTTGCTGTGGGCAACACTTTTATTTATTTTTTTTTTAATTAGTGAAGACCTATATTCAAATATAATTTAAAGCGCTCTTAATTGTATTGGTCACGTGACTAAAAGGCTGAATAACTGTTTCCATAAAGGAAGTGGTATCCAGACAATCACGCTTTAAATTGCACCAACAGTAGACAGTTGAGAGGGAAGACGTCCCATAACCGAAATCTTTATCACACGGCTGCAGCCATGTTTGAAAGGTGCAATAAAAAATGTTTCATGCCAGCAAAAATGCTAACACAGCTTTAAGCAGGGGCGGACTGATCATTTGGAAACTCGGGCACTGCCCGAGGGCCCAAGGTCAGTAGGGGGCCCCATGAGATGCCCCTGGTACCTTTTTCATAGGCTTTTTGGAGTTTGGGCAAGGACACAGGGGCCCCATGATCCCCTATTGCCCGGGGGCCCCATGAGTTGTCCGTCCGCCCCTGGCTTTAAGTCCATGTTTGAGTACTGGTCTTTGTTCATTACGGAAAAAAGTGATGTGTAGGGGACGTGCCCTTTAAAGTTTCGTACTCCTTTTATGCAAAATTGTTAAGAAATGTTGTAGAATATTGTGTTTGAAAAACAAATTTTAGGGTTTTTTTTTTTTGTAGTTGACCAAACTGTGTCAAATGTTATCTTGCATTATTTTGTTCTATATCCTTCCCTTTTCTAAGCTCCATCACCCTTGCTAGCAAAGACACCATCTCTACTCCCCTCCTCCTGCCTGTGATGATGTAAATCAGCAGAGAGGTTCAGCAGTAATTTCAGGTTTATAACATGGATGCGTGACTTGGCTTAAGGGTTTGAAGGATGATTGGAAAATGGAATCATTTACTTTAAGGGGTTTTTCTCAAAAACTCAACAGCGTTTAATAACTACGGGGGGAGATTTACCAAAACCGGAGCTCTCGCAATCTGGTGCATAGTAGCCAATCGGCTTCTAACTTCAATAATATATACCGCAACGAGCTGCGCTTCACTTAAAATAATGCATCCTATTTCTGTTGCTAATAAATAAAACAATTGTATGAAATGGTGAATAAAAAATAATAAACCAGTGTCCATTTCCTATAAAAGTGGCCATATAATTATCAAAAAAAGTCCATCTATGAAATTTCTTCAAACTTGCATGGTTCACTTTAAAATATAGTAACCCGTGCTTCTAAAATAAAATATTTTGTGCGGGAAAACTTGCATGGACGTGCTCCCCCACCTGTTGTGCTCTCACCTCAGGTATATGACCAAACCGTTAAGGTCATATAATGCTTGTGTCCCTTTTAACCACTTCCAGTCCGGACATTTTCACCCCCCTTCCAGTCCGGACACTTTCACCCCCTTCCAGTCCGGACACTTTCACCCCCTTCCAGTCCGGACATTTTCACCCCCCTTCCAGTCCGGACACTTTCACCCCCCTTCCAGTCCGGACATTTTCACCCCCCTTCCAGTCTGGACATTTTCACCCCCCTTCCAGTCTGGACATTTTCACCCCCCTTCCAGTCTGGACATTTTCACCCCCCTTCCAGTCTGGACATTTTCACCCCCCTTCCAGTCTGGACATTTTTTCACCCCCCTTCCAGTCTGGACATTTTCACCCCCCTTCCAGTCCGGACATTTTCACCCCCCTTCCAGTCTGGACACTTTTCCCCCCTTTCAGACACTTTTCCCCCCTTCCAGTCCAGACACTTTTCCCCCCTTCCAGTCCAGACACTTTCCCCCCTTCCAGTCCAGACACTTTCCCCCCCCTTCCAGTCCAGCACTTTCACCCCCTTCCAGTCCAGGCCAATTTTCAGCTTTCAGCGCTATCACACTTTAAATGACAATTGCGCAGTCATGCAACACTGTACCCATATGAATTTTTTTAGCATTTTTTTTTGAGACAGATAAAACTTTATTTTGGTGGTATTTATTCACCACTGGGATTTTTATTTTTGTTTTGCTATATAAATGAAAAAGTCCAAAAATTTTGAAAAAAAAAGTGTTTTTCTTATAAAATTTTGCAAATAAATGATCTTTCTCATAAATCTTGGCCAAAATGTATTCAGTTATCTTTTTAGTAAAAATAGCCCAAATTAGTTTTTAACCAAAAATTATAATATTTTTTTTTTTTTACATTTTTATTTAATTTTTTTTTTATATTATTTGGTTTTTTTTCATACTGTCACCCTAGCAGTACAGTTTCACCATGGTGACACTGTACTACTTGTGGGGGGTGAAAGATTTTTTTTTTTTTTTTTTACACTGATTGCTTTTACACCCATAAAGTCTGTAAAAACAATCATAGCTCCTTCTCTCTGACTGCATTCCTGCAGCTATTGAGAAATACTGAGTGAGCTGTGATTGGTCACAGCTTGTCACATGGTACAAGGCTGTTGTGAATAGCCCTGTACCATGTGACCTCTGTGATCATTCACAGATTTCACACGTAGTAAGCAATGATGTCACAAGTGACATCTTGCTTACTACTCTTCATGTGATCACTGATTGGCCAATCAGTGATCACATGATCGGGACCTCACACAGAGGTCCTGTAGGACGATCGGTGTTCCACTGTGTCCAGAGGACACAGCGGGCACCGGATTGCGGTGCTGCACGCCCCAAGGGAGCACGCACAAGCAGGGGGCAGGGAGGCCGTTTGTAAACGGCCACCCGCTCCTGCACTGCTCCCATCCCACCATTTATATACATAGGCCGGACGGGAAGTGGTTAAATGGGCCAGAGTATGGATGAGATGATATCTTGCTGTTTGGGGTCCTTCTCCACTCAAATGATGATCTTCCCTTCCATGGTGGTTAATATAGAGGAAATGAATCAAGTTATAGTGTATTTCACTTTTATTAATAAAATGGTTTTTAAAAGGATAAGTAAAACCTGGAAGCTGATTGGTTTCTATGCAGAGCTGCACCAGATTTTGCACCCTCCAGTTTTAGTAAATCTCCCCCCTAAAGGTCAATGTGAGCTCTGTGTGTGAAATGGTAATATACAGTATATGTGCCCAGAGCTATGAAGGTTTCTTAGGCCTACACCCGACTTGCTGAGAAGACATTTAGAAGATGCCACTGCACATGTTGGAGTTTGACCTAACTGCATGGAATAACCGTCACCTCTGCCACCAGCCCATAATTGTCTACTAACACACTAACCCCTCACTGCCTCTGGTGTTCACTCACTGACGTCTACTGGTGGTGTGCCTGTCTTCTACACTCAATGACGACGTGGGTTGAGCCAATGTTCCACCTCCCAGTTCACCAAGAAGTACTGACGTTCCTGCCATGGACACCACCTTGAAGATCTGAACCCCTTTATGCCTTAGGGGGGTGTCTAGTCCCCAACAAGTTAATGGTTTGCAGGAATATAAGATGGGGTCTTCATTGTCTGTAGGAGACAGGTACTCTTTGGTATACAAGACTTTCCACTACTAACCAAGATGATAACCGTTACACTGTGTGTGTATTGTACCGGCTAGTGAATCTGTATGGACTAACGTT